CCCCAAAACCCCAAAACCCCAAAACCCCAAAACCCCTTTATTAGCAAAAGATATTGGAAACATAAAAAATGAGACGACCTCAAACATAATTTCTTAATGTTTTGAAACCCAAATTGCTAAAAATTATGAAAATCTGTAGGAATTTAGAAAATTTTTCGTTTATCCGTTGAAGAACAAGCACTTTAGAGATCCATGATAAGGCTTAAGTTTTGAATTTGTTTTTAAAATATTTTGTGGAAGTATTTTAAATAAACTCTGTATTAAGAGAACGCACTTGTAACTTTTAGTTATAGTGAAAGATCTGGGGCTCTTTTTAGTTAGTAACAGGTTAAGAGAGAGTTATACTGGAGAACTTATTAAGATAAAGGTAAGTTCATGGAGCAACCACTTACTAAATTAGAAATCACATCTGAAACCTTCCCCTTGAAATTGTTTGGCATCTTTTTAACACAGTCTCTTGCGAAGTTGACTAAGAAGAATTTTATCAGTTGTCGGGAAAGTCCATTATTGATGAATTTTGAAATATTTTCTTTTGATTCTTTTTCTAACATTATAATAAAATATCTATCCTCCTTGTCTAACGTTTAGCATTTTGTGTCTTTCATAATTTATTAAGTACTGGGTTTAAAAACTCAAAAACATTTTCTGGGTTATATTCTGAGAAATCCATCCCTAATTCTCCTAGAAAGGAGTTAAAAATAGAGTCATTATTATTGTCATTTCTCTTATCGTAGCAGTGACAGCGAACCTTGAACATAAGCCTGTACAACTTTTTGATATCTTTGAAACATTTAACTCAGGCAAATAATTGTTGTTTATTAAAAATTCCAAGGCTCCATTCTCTTCAAGAGAAAAGCTTAAATATTTCTCCCAATTTGGGACCGCATTTGTTTCTATAAACTGCTTGATATTTTTACCCTTATGAAAGAGTCTTCTTTTCCGCCTTTTATGGCTCTTTCTGAATTGTTTGCCAAGGTTTCAGAATGAAGTAAGACAGTGGGAATTCTGCTCTATTTCCAATTCTAAAAGCCAAAGATAATGAAGTTTAACAAATATTTCAACACTTTGGTAATGAAAGCTAGCAAGTCTATTTTACTCTAGTTTTAGAAATATGAAATCATCTGTGCTGTGTCAGAGAGAAAGTTATGTCTAGAGGCATCATTAGCATCTCTCAAAAAGCTAAAGTGAATAAAAGAGAGTGCTTTAATAATTTTTGACACAAAACAAGCAAAAATTACGCTGAAAATTGTTTTGCAAAGATATTTAAGTTATTTTACTTTTGATATCATCCTGAATAATTATGGGCAACTGAAACTGATCTTTTGAAATTCTCTTCCTGGATATAGGAGGTTTCTGTGTTGGTGAAAGGATTTCAACATGAGGTTCCCTTGAAAGATTTCATTATTAAACTCAGGTATAGATGAATTTTCATTATTGAGGGCTTCTGTCAACTCATTTGGACATTACCAAAAATTTTCAATTTTGAGAGTCGGAAAGATAGGTTTAAGAGAAATCCAAAATAGAGATATTCCAAAATATCCAGGATACCTCTGAGGGTAAACTACTTCACTATGAGATAATGAACAGCCTGTGCTTTCTAATTTTTATAAAAAAATGTATCCTGGTGGCATGTGCTGGTTCACAAAGATAGTCATAGTTTCCTTTTTTTGAGTCATTTAAATTCATAATTTATTTTTCAATTTTGGATAATTTAAGTGGGGTTTTGGGGTTTTGGGGTTTTGGGGTTTTGGGG